GGCCTTAGCCCAAATTAGGGAAAAGGTAAAATGGAATATATGGATTCCTTAGTCAAGATTGATAGCCCATATGTTGACTTAGCATTTGTTATTTTGGATAATTCGGGATTATTGACGGGACGGTGATTCTGGAAAGTGTTTCTTTAGTTTCGTTTCTGACATTGCGAGGTGAGTAATCCTCACTATACTCAAGGGACTAAGGCACCAACACCGACCCTTTGGATTGTTATCTAGATATGTTATGCTAGTATGATCTGTTAGATCGGTATCATGGTAGATAGGATGGTATTATGTATTATGCGGTTATGATCCGTTAGATCGGTTTGTTTGTCTATAGACTATTATGTGATTATCTGTTATATGTGCACATGTTTCTTTGGCGGTTGAGGCTTATCTGCATTGTGCGAAAGTTAATAGACCTAGGATTCCAACATGTTGGTTGTGTGCCATGAGTATTCCATCCTGAGGATGATTCGACTCATAGTATGTGGGCATTCCAACCTGTTGGTTGTGGGCCTGGGTAATTCGATCCCGAGGATGATTGGACCCATAGTATGTTGGCATTCCAACCGGATGGTTGAGGGCCAGGGGTATTCCAACCCGATGGTTAACTGGACCCATAATATGTTGTTTATGATTATATGTGTATTGTTGTGTGTATGGGTATTTTGGGGGAACTGAGTAAACCTCGGGCTTACAATTTCAGTTTATTGTTTCAAGTACATTAGGGGATCACGGAAAGGCAAAGGCATGATCGTAAAGCTTCTCATATTTACGTTTATGTTTCTGTGATACTCTAATATTATACATTTTGAACACAAGTTTTGTAATGATTAATGGTTTTGAAATGTTTTTAAAAGTTTAAATTTTGCATTATTTTTATAGGTGTTACATGTTGCTTGATGATGAATTGAATTGAATATTTCCTTGAATCCGGATCTAAATGGAATGGATTTGTGTTTCCAAACATTTCCTTGGGTTTAGAAGCCTCAAAAACGCAGGGAACAAGCTTTGAAAATCAATCGGTGGAACCCTCAAAATGAATACATAAGTCCCTATTTATATTATTTGGTAGAAAATAGGGAAACCAGGCAATCTGGGATGTTGGACATCCCAGGGGACATCTTAGATGGCATGTATAGCGCTTATGTGTTCTTTGTACTTCTTTGCATTGATTCTGATATCCTTAAACTACACTAAAAATTGGCGAAAAACGTTGGACGTCTTAGACGCGTTCTTGGTCGTTCTTCCTTGATTTCTAAACTTTTTGAAACAAGCTGTTCCAACACAGGACGCTCCTAAAATGCCAGGACACCCTTGGAAATGTCTTAGACGACATGTAAGATGCCAACAGGCTCCTCCCTTTTCGTTTTTGCCCCAAAATTTTCCGAAACGCTGACGGTTGGACTTAGACATCCTAGGGGACATCGTAGACGCCTGCAGGTGTCCTTCATTTTCGTGCAAGTTTTGGTGGTCAAAACGACAGAATTAGCTGAAAAGAAAAACATGAAAGTTGTAGAAAATTTTTTCTAGTGTCCAAAACTTCTTTACTCATGTCAATAGGAGATCCAAAACTTTAGATATGATAAAAACATTGAAGTATGGTCAATTTTCCCAGCTACGTTTCTTCATTCATTTTGCAATTCATTTTACTTGCAGGTTACGCCCACTTTTATTACGATATATTGACGTGCATATGAAGTTCAAAAACTCATAAAATTAGTGCCATTCTTGCACAATTATACATCAATTCAACAAATTTATGACAATTTAGTAAATTCATAAAGTAGACTTATTTGAGACGCTTCGCTAGAGATTCTGCGGAGCCCCATTACATTCCCTCCCGGAAGGATTCGAGGATTTAGTATTCTATTGTGATTCATCATTTTGAGATTGGGTGTTGTGTTGAAGCAGAGAGGCATGTGATAGCCTACGTTTTCAGGCAGCTAAATCCTCACGAGGTGAGATACCTCACTCATGATTTGGAGGTAGGGGCAGTGGTTTTCACCCTCAATCTTTGCTGCCACTATCTCTATGGTGTTGAGGGTACCATCTACATGGACCATAAGAGTTTGAGATACCTTATGGATCAACCTAACTTATATATAAGGCAAAGGAGGTGGTTAGATATAGTGAAGGACTACGATTGTAAGATCTTGTATCATCCAGCAAAAGCCAATATGGTGGCCAATGCCCTGAGCCGGAAGGCGACAAGTACCCAGATGTGGGATGTGTGCATGAGGATGGTCGTGATGTGACATCCCTATTTTCACGGCCAGAAAAGACCGATTTTGTTTATGCTTTATAAAAATTAGAGTACATCTTTTACTAAGAATGCTGCAGAATTTGTTCCCAGAAAAACACGACAAATACGCTATCAAACCATTTTCGAAGAAACACACTTTATTTATTTTAAAAAATTTGGGATGTCATCGTCAATATAGAAACATAAGCATAAACATAAATTAAATTTATTTACACTAGTGATCTATATCTCTTTAATCTCTTAGTGTAATGTAACTTCATATCGACACATGTGATATAAATAAACTGAGTGGGTCAGGTTGGGAAACCTGGTGAGTACATAGGGTTTTCAACCCACAATAATATAATTATTATGTTTAAACAATCAAACAATCAAACCAATTACCCATCCCCATTATCTTCTTTACTCTTAAGGATCTACCCTAAGAATCAATTATTCCTCGTTTATTCATTCCTAAGGATCATCCTAAGGAATCGACACGAAGTCCATCACTGCCATGGTTTACACAACGGGCACTAAGTCTGCATAGTCGCCAGGGTTTAGGCATCAAGTATGCATGATCGCCATGGTTTAGACAGCAATTTTGCATGATCGCCAACGTTTAGGCATCAAGTCTGCATGATCACCAAGGTTTAGACACCAAGTTTCCATGGTCACCAGGGTTTAGAGTACACCGGGTGAACACATTGTTCACAATACCTACAGGCTGCGAGCCTGCTAGTGTCCAACTAGATTGTATAGAATAGTTTGTGGTTGCCATCATTTGGGAAAAAGACTTCTCACATCGTCCACCTCTCACCCTCACCTCACGGTCTATTTCACCTCTCACCTCACCATCCGACTCATATTTCATCTACCCATTTACCCAACATATTTTGTAGATATAAATAATATATACATTTTAAATCATTCAAAACATGTATAAAAATCTTTCACCCAGCATAGACAACAAGTATACAGACAATATGCACTCATAGCACGTAAATTATATTAAATACTTCATATCTATGTCGAAGATGAAATGGACTATGCGCTCACCTGATAAAGTGGTGACTCGACACTCGGATAACACTTCGTTATCTTAAAACAATTTCCTTCGACGAAACCTAGTATCATTACCATTAAGTTTTAGTTTAATATCCCCCGAGACTAATTAATAGTCTGGCTATTATTACTATTACATAAGCATTAAAAGATTATTCCTTCTACATAATCTTCCATCAAAAACTTTTTTTTGATGCTTATTGTCTCTAAATTGAATAGCTCGGATCTGCCTGCGTTACAGTTATCTTCCCCTTAGGATGATTACATCCCGGAATCATCAATGAAATATGGTTGTATAATGACTCCATATGTTATCTCTTCATCCTAGGTAATAATCTTAACTTCTATGTTGCTTCGAATGAGTTTCTAACTCTTGGACTCTTTGACTACAGACGGTGCTCGGTCTTGCACTTACTCCTTATCTCACGATAGACTCCAAATTATGACCTTCAAGTCACAATCTCAATTCTTACTGGATACTCCTTCTTCTTCTTAACAAACTCTAGATAAGTCATTTGATTTCCACAATAGACCGATGGATCACGTTCCAATGACCTCTCATCGTGTGTTGCAACACGTAGACTCAGGTCTCGTAGAGTCAAATTCCAGAATAGACTATACCTTCCTTCATATTCTAATTTGATATAATCACATTTTAAAAGGTAGCATTCCTAGCTACAAGCAACTATCGCGATACCTCTACTGATCGCTTTGATTGTCTCTCACTTCAAGCTTCTAGCTTAAGTCAGATGCTACATCGGACTTGGTTCTCTAAACCATTTAACATACTTTTCTTAGTTGGACTCAATTTGATATGACCACTTGGGTCGGAATAACAACAATCTTCTTAGCCATTACCGAAACCATGGTAACGACATACTTGAATAAAACGGTATCAATTACTAGCTTCTTGGTAACATTCTGACTTTCCCTGATCCAAGTGTGATTCATGTACTTCCGGTTGTATATGCTATTGGATTAATGTCTAAGTCCATAAATATAATTGGTAAGACTTGACCCGACCCAGCATGGTCCATTTGGGTTCCATGGCATCATGCACTTGGATAGACTAAATGAGAGAAATAAGACACTTATGGTTATTAATATATTATAAGTTCTAGTATATTAATAATAAGAATAATAATATTTAATTAGTATTGATGAAGAATTAATTTAGAATTACTTATGTGATCAAAAGAAGACTAATTAAATATATGAGTTGATTATGCAAATCATTCATAACTTATATAGTGGGCCAAAGCTCCATGGATAATCAAGTTGGGTTAAACCCATAGGATGCTCCATGGAGGTTACATAACCGATGGGTCATGATAATGAAAGGTCATGACAATTAGGGTTTATATGGTGTAACCCTAATTGTAACACACTATATAAGCATCATATTATTCACCAAAATCGGCACTAGTGTGTCTAAAAGAAGGGCTAGCCGATTTCATGAGTTGTAGATTTCTCTCAAGTCATTCCAAGTGTATTTGGTGTTGTGTGAACCATTTCAGGTGTCGCACTGGAGGCACTAGGCACTCAAGCTTCATGAAGACATTCTTATATATATATATATATATATATATATATTAAAGGAGGATAGTTTTTAGGAATAGTGAACTTATCTGTTATTTGGCAAGAACGGCCCTTGGATATGTTATTTCTGTTTTTTTTATCTGGGTGTTTTATGGAAATATTTACTTTCTTGTGTACACGTGTTGATCATTGTTTGGTTTATCCGCTTTTGGATCCTTCCCACCGCCTCAAAATATCTTCGGTCAACGTTATCTCTCTTTTCTTCCACAAACCTCCCATCACTTTTTCGCCCCTGCTGTTTCTGCGTAGACCGATTATTAGTGGCGAGCAACTCAACATCGAGGGGATCGTGGTGCCTAAAGTAGTTGTCGTGTTCGCCGCCAGTGCAGTCGCTAGTGCCGGCGCGAAGCGCTTTAGAGAGCTGCATTCACCCACCAGAAAAGCGCTTCAGAGAGCTATGTTTTACTTCAAAGAACCGATTCGGTGTCTGCTCATCGGATCTACTCGGAGCTTTCAAACATGTAACTCGTATGAAATTGTACAAGTGATTATAGCGTACAAGACGTCCTCCATCGTCTCACCGATTCCGGTGTTCCCCAGCTTCACGTCCAATCCTTGATGCCTTCATAATGTAGATTATTCACATTCGTTTGGTGTTGGCGTATTCATATAGTTTTATCGAATTAACTTATCTGATTGCAAACGTTTTGTTGTTGTTGTTGTATGTAGCAAGGGGGCTAAGCGAGACTTTAGCACCACGATTCTTGAGCGAAAGAAGGCGGCGAATAGACTGACTGACTGGTCGTTGATGAAGGCATCAACAATGATAACTCCTTTGTTTCTCTTCATCCCGAGACCATGGAAAAGCTTCAACTCTTCAGAGGCGATACCATCCTGATCAAGGTATCTTAGGGTTTATACTTTATAGTTTATAGTATCTTATAATCGTTTCTTGAGTTCTCTAATACTTGAATATATTGTTTTATGCTCTTCCTGAAAATTATTCTTTGCATTCTTCATTCAATCTAGGGTTTTTTTATAAAAGTTCTAGTCAACCTAATGAATCAGACATTATTGTTTCTCTCTAATCGAATTCAGTTCCAACTGATGCATTCTATGGTTTTGCTTCTGATTTGTGATAGGTTCCTTTCTCTCCATCAACAAATTTCTAGTGGCACGCCAAGTGTTTGACATTTTGCTTCAGTGAAGTTCATCATATATTTTTATATGGACCCTTGACCGGTTGACTATCCTGTTCAGATACCGGTACCGGAAGGTATAAGCTTCCTTTCTAGCTTTCCTCTCACCTCGCGTTCTCATTTTTTCAAAAAAATTTCCCTTACAGGATTTGAATGATGAAGCATCCAAGCTTTAAGAGCTACAAAGGTTTTAGCGGTTCCAAATGATGCACTCTACGGTTTTGCTTCTGATTCGTGGTAAGTCTTTGTGGATTCATTGGTTTTCCAAGACCATCGGTCTTCTTCCTCAGTTACAATGACTGAAAAACATTTGAAATGGAATTTGGGGATTTAAGTGAATATTGATTTCTTTATTTACAGATTCGAGCCAAAATTGATCGCCACCACTTAGGGTCGTAGGCTTTCTTTTCTTCCCTCCACTTACCCGATTTGTATCCATTTTTCCTGTCGGAGCCGTCATCTTGGGATACTTCATGTACTAAAAAGATCTCATAAAGCTCTTATCAGCAGTCAATGCATTAGATGCTTACAATTAGGTCCGGGAGAGATTTCCTTCACAAGTATAAAGGCCAGATTCCCATTTATAAAATATTTGTTATGAAAAAAGTTAGATTTTCATGAAATTCATAACATTTATTGTAATTGTAGGTATCTGGGTAGTGTGACAATCTTTCAGGAAGCGTTGTGATTGTCTATGAAATCATAGCATTCGCTCTGCTGGGGTTAACAAAATCTAAAAGAAAATTGCTAGGTCCTATTGTTCTTGGATCCTGGATTCTATTCTTATTATGGAATCACATTTTCCTATTGTGTTCTCACTCCATCTATTTTAAATTTTTTTCTTGCTTACGCAGAAGGGGTCGTCGAATCACTATGGTCGATTGATCAATATTTTGAGTTTGTTCTTGTGCTTACGTTCAATACCCGATTGTGTTTTTAGGTTCTCATTTGAATTGGAATCATAATCTACTGAATGGAATGGAATTGGATAATGTAGATGGTTTTTCATTTTGGTTTGTTATTGATAATTTTATTAGTGATTATACATGTAACTGTTACTAGGTCAAACTGGTTTGGTGTCTGGGATCAAATGTTGTCGATATGGAGATATGTGGTTGTTGGGGGCAGCTATTGCTATACCTATTGTGGCTCCATCAACTGACCCGTTGACTCGGTTGCTTCTGGAAATGATGATGATGCGGTAGCACAGATGAAGGCTGCTGAAGAGCTTCCCGCAACTAAGAAAAGGGTAATTCAAGTTACTTGATGACTGCTTTAATCATTTTGGTATTATTCCATATATTACTCAATGGACTTAATTTGGACGTAACCTAATACTTTAATTTATATATATGTGGATGCTTCCGTTATCGTTAGGTTTGTCAAATTCTTTCTTCTTCGCTTTTCCATCATCCCATATGATCCATCTTTCTCCAGTGACATCGTCAGCCCTCACACAGGCGGCTGCCCAGCGCTGACATCCCAACTATACTCCTAATTTATGACAACGACAGCAACCCATCATTCACCACCAACCGAAACTTCTAACCCACCAGTTACCACCATCGTCGTCTCGAAATATGGTTTTGATATTCTTACTTATCTTCATTTCTGAATTGGATTTGTTAGTTGAAATTGATTTCTTCTATAAAAACGATTTTGATTCTGATTTTCAAAAATATAGTTTTCTATCCGTTCACTTTTCGTACTTATGAAATACAGGTTTATATAAAGGATTATTAAAGATATCTGTGATTAATGATGAGGAATCATAGTTAGGGGTCATATTTTGTTGTTCTTCCCTACCTTTTTGTTGAATATTGTAAATTTTTTTCTCAAATTTGACTAAGAATTTGTTTTACAAGGTTGCTCAATGTTTTCGTAAAGAAGACAATTCCCGCCACTTGATTGGTATCTCATACCTACTCTTATTCATGTGTTTTTCTTTGTTCCAGTGGATTTGGCCATTCCATTGCTTTGAAGATTGAAAGCTGTAACTTACATAAGTCAAACAAGTTTAGTATATTTTAGTGAACACTAACTTTGCTTTTATTCTAATTTTCATTTATTTGCTGCAGGTATCATCTTCCAAACTGTTATGAAATATGCTATGTATACTTTAGAAATAAGGTAAACTATAAATTTATTATTTCTTTTCTATAGGTATATAAACATGTAATGCTAACCGATTAGAATTTTCCTTTAATTGATTGGGTATACAGCCAGAATAGTTGGTGATGAAGACATATCTTCTCAATTTTGACTTTTTTAGTTCTCTTACTTATTCATCTTTCTAAAATATGGTGTGGATTTTTTCATTTTTGTCACAATAAAAAAAAACTTCTTATTTCTGTGTTTGTGGTTTTGTAGATGAGAAATGCGAGCCACTAAGTGCTGTTGTGCAGACAGCTACAAATATCACAATCATCAGGAACATTGCCCATTTCTGTACACAGGTAATTATTCACTATTTTGAATAGGTTGTTTCCATGAGATGAACATGTGACCTCATATATGTAGACAAACATATAGAAACACATAGGCTGATAAATATGCTATTTTTAACCTCTCTCGACCACCTGCCTAATTTTATATAGTTGGGAGGTGTCTGTTTCACATGATGTTTTAGAAGAAACTGGAAGCTGTCAAAAAGAATTGCGAATTGAAGTAACTGGATATGTCTTGCATTTGCTTGGCAGGGAATGTAATGGAATTCAATTCCATTACTTTGTATATTTCAGTTTGCTTTATAAATCTATTAGATTATTTGGAATGTAAAGAATGACGAATGACAAAATTGCCCTTCCTTGATTTTTAGTAAATCATATTTGTTTTGTGGTGAATTATATATACACAGAGTAATGTAAATCACATAACTGTCCCGAGCAAATCTTGAATAAACGAACACATTTAGCTTTTTTATTTGAATAATAGTATATGCCCATTTTACTCTTTGTCTGGATTTATTGCAACAATAGCTAAAAGTAACCAATGTTTCCATATTTATTTTAGCATGCTTTGATTGCTTTGATTGATCTTGCTGCTCATGCTACTGATCACACACAATCCGAATGACTCAAATTTCTTGATCCAAGAACATATAACAAACTAGAATTACTAAACTTCCCTTATTTACTGCCATACAAATTTTCTTGGAGTTCATGGGGTAGGTTGGGGGTAGAGAATGACAAACAAAGCATATAGAAATAGCAAAATTATAATTAAATATTTGTTACATGTGATAATTTATTTATTATTATATTTGATTTCAAAGCTGTAAATTTTTAAAGTACAAAACAAAAAAAAAATTATCTTTTTATTCGTTTTCATAGAATCATACCTCTTTGTGTTGCAGTTGTTTCCCTGATTGTATATAACTTTCCCTAATTTTTTTTTTGACGAATATTTTTTTAATAAACGATATTTCAGCAACAACATTGGACTTCTCCTGCAATGGAATCAACATTACATGCAGCAAATAAAACAACCATTAAAAATGGCACCTCAGGTTGCTGATGTGTATTTTTCAAAAGCATTGCATGATGTCGATATACATGTGAAAACTTTCTTTTTAATTTTACATTTTGTTTCTATTAAGGTTTTGACTTATTTTTTCCGCTCATATTGTGGTTTGCTTTCATTCTTTTGTACCCTCATCTTAATATCGATGGCCATATTGTTTAAATGAGTGTCCATAATACATTTTCTCTTCAATTCTTAAACTACCCATTTAAATTTGGTGACCTTATAATGGTGTTATTGAAATATATAACATTTTACTTTAATTCTAATGTTAGGTGCATGATTTGATCATTCAAGGAAATGAAATCGAAGAAGACAGTGGAAGGATGGGGTAAGTATGAAGATGTTCTTTCTATATTTATTGTAGATTGTATTGTACTTTCATTTAAAACTACCTGGATATAAGATTGTATTTTCATTGTTTTCGAAAACCTATTCAAATATAGCATTGTACTTCTTTTGGTAGCATGATCTATCATTACATTTCCATTCATCTAATTGATGGAAAATTACACAGAATAGCAACATACTTTAATTAGGATACCAATTTGTGCAATGTACTTCATTATTTGTCTTAGAAAACGAACACATTTTGCCCCGCGCAACGTGCGGGTAACCCCTCTAGTTCTACATCAAAGAGGTATGTATTCTATCTTGTTATATTCGTTATGTTGTATGCTAGATTAGGATAATACCTTGGATGTGCATAATTGCATGTATAATAGAGAAAACATATATCCAAGGTATTTAGGGTTGCATTTACACTTAGGAGTGTTAGAATGCTCAAAACCCAATGGTGGTATAAGAGACTAGGCTTGTTTTCAATTATACTTGATGCAAATTGCTAAAAAAATGCTGAAAAAATCGATTTTCTGGCTTTTTGGGCATTGGACTCTCCGAGTCCACTGATGAACTCGGTCGAGTCCATGAGTAAAATCATCCTACTCGTCGAGTAGGTTCATGCACTCGACGAGTAGGAGCCCCAGACAGCATAAATTCAACTTTTTTGGCTGGAATTGGACTAGGAACATTACGTTAAGATGCTTTTGGACTTATAAACCTGTTTTTGATATGGTAATGTTCATGCTAATCTAATTACAAAGATAACTGTCAATAGATTCATGTTTTGTATTAGTTAAGTGATTAGGCTAATTACATGAAAAAGTTTGATTTGAATTATCTTGTTCTTATGAGTTGCTTAGATTAATAGAAAGTTGATTCTAAAATGTGTTTTTGTAAGTTGTCCTCAAGTTATATGAAAAGTCACACTTAAGTTTCATAAAACTCATAAAAGTTGGCAATGGCTACAAAATTGAAGAGTCTTGTCCAGAAGTTATGGAGATTCAAGAGTCACTTCATTAAGTAATAAAATGTAACCTTAATTAATTCGATAAGTTATAAAATAAAGATAAGTTAATTCCTTTATTAGTTTAAAGTCTTCCATAACTTGTCCTCAAGTTATAGAACTTGAAGAGTTTTTGGATTAAAACTACTTTAAATACATAAGTTATGGAATTAATTAGTCTTTAATAGTTTCAAAACTTGCCCTCAACTTTTGGGATTTGAATAGTTTTTCACATATGAATAGTTTAATTAATTCCAAGTTAGCCCTTAGAATTTTAAAAGTTAAAATTCAACCCTTATACTTTATAAT